GTAGCAACAAAAGTACAAATCAAATTTACCAAAGTTCATCACAAATGTGAAATGAACATGTTCGCCGGTAATACGATCCAGCAGAAATAAATTCACTTTCATTTGCTTTCATTTTCACTAAAAATGATTGGCAGCTTGTACTACATTTTATGGCTGTATTGCAACAAATTAACTTTGAAATGGAAGTATCAGTGTAATTTTAAAATAGCAATAACAAGCCATACTTTTGTAGAGCTTGCTTGTCGGAACGCAAACATGCATAAATTGAAGTTCCAGTTGGCTCATTGTTTGTAGTAAGTTTTGTGATGAAAGACGGATTAAAATCAGAAATCCCAAACAAATTTTTCATTTTATTATCAGAGGGATACGTTATCTTAGGTATCAATAACAAATCAGCCTGAATAATTGGTTGGACCCACAGAATTTTGGAGTTTTTTTCTCACGCAATTTTTAAGCAACTGTTTTGGCTAGTTTAGCGTTTACGAGATTTAAACTACGTTTATTAAACAACTATCAAAAGAAAACAACTTTTGACCTGAAGTTCACAAAATAATATATATTTGAGTGGCACTAGCAAAAATTCAGCACTGTTGAAATGCCCAAACCCACGATTTCCTTTTTTATACTTAGCCAGCTGAAGTTGGACATTTTGACATTGGGATATTAGTCATGTCATTTTGTGTGAACTTCAAAGCGTCATTTCGTCCCAAATAAAACCCCCATGACCTCCATATTGCAGGTATTGCTTTTTCTATAGGAACTCAACCTGCAAAATGTTTTTGAAGAAAATTGGAAAAAAAATTATTTTTGCCATCCACCGCAAAAAAGCTTTTCTTCTCGATTTTTACAGTCAAGCCCTCTTAAATGGTAAAATGTACAATCTGTCACGAAAATAAATTTTCATCCAAAACATGATTTATGGCCTCCAGATTTGCTTAAGCTTATAATTTGATAGTGTCATGGAGTATAAAACCAAATTGAAATTTTGACTCTGGCCTACATTATTTCACGCTATCCTTTAACTTGATTCAAGGCAAATCCAATCCTTTATTACCATAAATTTTACAATTTACAATTTTTACAATTTTCCTGAAAGAAACCACGAGGCTTATAATGAGTCAGGTCTCCTCAACTTAGGATAAACTAGTCTTGATAATATAATAACAACATGGGCTTATGATGGCGGACTCACACACACACACACACACACACACACACACACACACACACACACACACACACACACACACACACACACACACACACATGTTAAATTAATTATGAATAAATAGTGACAGCTCCCCCAATTAAAACATACGATGCTTGCTAAGATAAAAGCAACACGAGCTTATGACAGCGGACTCACACACACACACACACACACACCCACACACACACACACACTCACACACACACACACACACACACACACACACACACACATGTTAAATTAATTAATCTAATATCTAATAATCTACTTGGTGCCATACTGAAGCTAATACGTACTAAGAAGGAATTCTTTAAGCTTTCTTTTAAAAGAAGTAGAGGAGGACGAACCAGTTATAGTAGAATTTAGCCAATTATAAAACTTTGGACCTTGGAAATAAGTTGACAACTGTCTGGTGTTCGTTCTGCATAGTGGCAAGCGAAATGAGTGGGCATTCCTTGTATTATAATTATGGATTTGACTGTTTGTTAGGAAGAGGTTAGTGAATTTGGAAGGGAGTGTGGAGTTCTTGAGTGAAAACATAAAAAAAACCTAATTGAAACGAATGGATTCATGAAATTTTAAAAGTTTAAGCTCCTTAAAGATGGGACTAGTGTTGGCATCGTAGGTAGAGTTGTTCACTATTCTTAGCGCACGTTTCTGTAAGATTACAATTCTTTGAGGGTTCGCTTCATAGGTGCCACCCCAAGGTAGATTGCAATAGTATAAGTATGGAAGTATCATTGAATTGTACAAGGTACGGAGAGATTGAGTTGAGAGAAAAAACGTAGATTTATGAATGTTTCTTATGGATTTTGATAATTTACTGGCCAATAGATATATGTGAGGTTTCCAGGTCAGATTATCATCTAAAAAGACACCCAAGAACATGGTTTCAGAAACACGAAGGATAGGCTGCTCATTTATAGAAACTTGAAATTCAAACGATTGCCTTTTTTGCCAAGGCTTAAATACCATAAAATTAGTCTTGGATAAATTCAAGGAAAGCCAGTTTGCGGCAAACCAGGTTGACAATTTGTTTAATTCTCTATTTAATGTATTAATTAGGTAAACAGGATCATTGTGAGAAATAAATAGGTTTGTATCATCAGCACACAAAATTGCATCAAGCATGGAAGCGTTGTTCAAATCATAAACGTACAGGATAAAAAATAAAGGACCAAGAGTAGAGCCTTGGGGCACCCCACAGGAAATCCCCTGTGGGGAAGACCTAACATTGTTAAATTCGACAAATTGTTTCTTCTCAGAGAAATAACTTTTTACCCATTCTAGTGCTAGACCACGGATCCCATAATGCTCCAGTTTGTCAGAAAGGATGAAATGATTTACTGCGTCAAATGCTTTCGAAAGATCTAAAAATACTCCAATAGCATGGTCTCTTCTATCAAAAGCAGAAGAAATTTTATCACACAAATCGATAAGCGCGAGGCTAGGGGAACGATTTTTCTTAAAGTCATATTGATTATCACAAAGTACATTGAAGTCATTGAGATAATTTATGATACGGTTGTAAATTATTCGCTCCAAAAACTTTGAAAAGCAAGGTAGAACTGAAATAGGTCTGTAATTACTAAAGAGAGCTTTGTCACCTGATTTAAAAATAGGAACCACACGAGCAATTTTCGATTCATCTGGAATGATACCTTGGATAATAGAGGGATTTATAATGTGAGTTAGTGGAGAGGAAATGCTGCCAATAGATCGTTTTATAATAGACATGGAAATGTTGTCATACCCTGCCGATTTTCCCGCCGGAAACTTACATGCAATATCTACAATCTCCTCCTGAGTTGCTAAATTTAGGAACATAGACTGAGGGAAATCGCCAAAAAGAAAATTTTTATGCAAAGTGGCAGATTGAATCCGTTTGGCATGGTTTGGTCCAATATTACTGAAGTAAGAAGAAAATCGATTTGCAATCTCCATTGGGTCAGAAATTTCTTGGTCATCAACCTGGAAAACAGAGTTGGGTTTGGGTCGGAAATTTCTTGTTATTTAGAACCTCATTAAGCAGACGCCAGGTGGATTTCATATTAGATTTTGACTCGTTTAACTTCTTATCATAATATAGGCGTTTTGCAATTCGTAAAGAGCGATTTAATTTGTTCTTATATGTTTTATATATCAGTTCCTTCTGAGGAGAAAGATTTGAAAGATACCACTTGTATAATTTATTTTTCTTCTTGGTAGATTTAAGAAGGCCCTGGGATATCCATGGCCTCCACGGATGAAGGTGGTGTTATAGTTTCTTCAAAGGGAAATGCTTTTTGTAAGTTTTAGTGTATAAATCGAGAAACTTACCATAGCAGATTTTAGGATCATTATACCCGTCGAGGTTAGACCAGTCAATACAATCTAACTTCTCTAAGAAGGTGGATATATTTTGCTCGCTTTTGTCACGAACAAATAAACTTTCTTGGCGTTGATGGGTACGCATATGATCAAGGGAAATGGAAAATATTGGCAAATGGTCCGAAATGTCAGTTATTAATAGTCCAGACCTCAAATAACTGTTGTCTATCAGAGTAGCAGTGTCAGAAGTAACTCGGGAAGGTAGCGTGATTAAGGAAAAAACAGATGAGAATACAGACCATCCAAAAATTCCCCGGTGGCGTTGTGATCTTGATTATTCAGCAAATTCAAATTAAAGCTTCCCATTAAATAGCATATTTTGTTGCCCCGAGTTATTTTCCCTAATACGTCGTTCTTTCTAATCACGAAGTCATTTACATTTGGATTTGGAGGGCGATAAATTATACCAACAATAACGTTTCTCTCATGGGATCGAATGATCTCTATGAACAATGATTCCATCACCTCATCTTCATAAGCATAAATATCTGTGCGAATTCTAAAATCAAGATTGTCTGACACATACAAACCCACACCTCCACCTGTTTTGGCAGAGCGATTTTTGTAAACAAAGTTATAACCATCAATGTTGACTCCAAGTGATGAATCCTGTAACCAGTTATCCCAACAACGCACAATTTTATATTTAGAGTGGATAGAAGAGTCGATAATTCATCAACCTTATTTTGAAGGGTTCGAATGTTAAGATGGAAAAACGAAAGATGGTTCGATTGTTCATGACTGATCATGGTTTCATTTTGGAGAGTATCATTAAATTTCTCTTCTACAAAATAAGAACATCCACCGTCAATATTGAAATGTATGTCAGGGTTCAGATCATCAGACCGAACTAAAAACCATTCAAAATAACAAGTCAAAGGATTTATAGATAAGTTTGATAGTCTCTCAGGATCAAAACGAACAGGTCCATTTCTGAATTCATAAATGACCGCAGCAAATTCATTATCATCCAAGTAACTAAACGGTAAAGCATTTAGGGACATATTATCGTTACTAAGTGGATAATAAGGGAGTAAGTAAATAAATAAAAGAACTTAGCTGGACTCTACTCTACGTCTGTCCTTTATAACAAGTCTGTCCAACACAAAATATGCCATTTTCCCAGCTCTCTTGGCCTCCTTGAGTTTATCAAGTTGTGCTTTCCGCTTTTCCATAGTCTCGTTTGCGAGGTCTTCACTCAAAAACATACCAGGCGGTTTCATCCTTTGGGCGGCTCTAAGAATTTCATCCTTTTGTTTCCAATCATGTAAATGACACACTATGGTTCTTGGGCATGTGTTGATACCATCAGCAGCACCTGGTCTTGATCTTGTTCCAGTGCGATGCGCTCGCTCAATCACCAGTTCAAAGCACAAGTGTAGCTTTTCCTGAAGGACTCCCTTCGCCTTTGTTTCAGTATTCAGCTAGGTCTCGTTGTCTTCTTTGTGAATTCCATCAATATGGACATTATTTCTTCGGCTTTGGTTCTTGAGATTTTCCAATTTTTCTCAAGTTCTTCGTCCATGTCGTCTATGGCGTCTGTAGCTTCCTTTAAGTCGTCGATATCTTGCTGTGAATATTCCAAGCTCGCTTTCAATTCAGAGACAGATTTGACAACCTTGTCAATTCTGGTATTTACGGAGGACAAAAGCGACTCAAACATGTTCTTAAACATTTGCTTCTGTATCTGGAGCATCTCTCTCAAAGTTGCAAGAGAAACGAACTCAGTGTTCGAAGGATCAGCGTCTTTTCCAGTGTTGGTGTCCTTTCCAGTAGAATTCATAGAGGTTTTAGCATTTAGCGTCAGCATGATAAATGATCACTTAACAATGAGGCAATGAATAGCAAAGTCAAAAACCTACAATAAATCATAAGTAAACACTGGATGAAAAAATGGATTTACAAGGGTAACCAAACTACAGCAAAAGTGTAGCAAATACCACATTTGCACAATTTTGCTCAAGAGCAAAGACTGATATTGCACTAGATTTGCTATCTGTAGCAATGACGGTAAATGCCGCATTTGCACAAGATTTACATCTTTGTGCAAAGATAATGTGTAGTCACGAATTTAAGGATCATTTACAGATGGTTCAAATGTGGACGCAAATTTGTTTCTTTGCACTATCTTTGCTTACTATGCAAATATGAGCGCAAATCTCCTGTTTTGTGCAGCTTTGCCCCAGTTGTAAAAGCATGTAAACCTGTTATTTTTATAAAGTTTACACAACGTTGCAAATGTGAGCAAAGCATTAAATCTGAACAACGTTTGTTTGGGGTGGTAAGGATGATCAAATGTTTATCAGCGAACCGGATTGTTTGTGTAGCAAATGTTATCAAACTTTTAGCTTTAAACATGTTTACTCACGGAGCTAATGTTAGAAAAATCACAACTTTGACGAAATTTTCTAGGGGTCGCAAATGTGATCAAATGTGAGTTTGCTTGGAGCGGCAAATATGGTCAAAATCCAAGTTTTAAACAACTTTGCTCGGGCAGCACATCTGATCAAACTCATTTTTGTACAGTTTTTTGCTCAGGTAGCAATATATAATCAAAAGTCCAACTTTGCTTCAGCCAGCAAATGTCGTCAAATCTCCTAATATTGAACATGTTTGCTCGGGTAGCAAATATAGTCAAAGTTGGAACATTGCTCGGGTTAGCAAATGTTTTTAAACTCCTAAATTAGAGCATGGTTTGCTCAGGTAGCAAATAATATTCAACGTCCAAGGTTTGAATATCTTTCATTGGGTTCTAGTAAATGTGGTCAAAATCCAAGTTTTAAATAAGTTTGCTCAGGCAGCACATATGACAAACTCATACTTTTGAACAGTTTTTTGCTCAGGTAGCAAATATAATCAAAAGTCCAACTTTGCTTCGGCCGGCAAACGTCGTCAAATCTTCTAATATTGAACATGTTTGCTCAGGTAGCAAATGTAGTCAAAGCAGGAACTTTGTTTGGGTTAGCAAATGTTTTTAAACTCTTAAATTAGAGCATGGTTTGCTCAGGTAGCAAATAATATTCAACGTCCAAGGTCTGAATACCTTTCATTGGGTTCTAGTAAATGGACAACAAATAATTTCATTATATAGTCTGAGTTCTTAACAAGTATATGCCTTCAAACTTTGAGGGGAATATCACTAGTAATGACCAAGCATTAAATTCTGTTCAAATGATTTAATCCATAAACCAAAGTTAGCTCAGATATCTCTTAATTTTCTGAAAGCAGAACAAATTACAAACTATGTATGTTAATATATATATTTATATAAGTACGTATCAGATCAATACTAAGTAATATTAAATATAAATAAGAAAAGTGTTCGTAATATAAGATATTCTAAAAACTTGTTTTCAGAGTTGTGCCATCATTTCCTTTTTCCAAACAATAGTTATTTATGGACGAAACTTTTATTCACTAAAACTGTTATAACCCATGACAAAATCCTCTTCAATCTACTTGGAACAATAAAAAAGGCGTTTTACTTAGTACAAAATAACATAATTATTACTTTTTAAAGAAACAAAATTTATAATTCTGGTGGTATTTTAACCTTGGACTCTATAAAAGGGCTTGTAATTACCATGGCGGATCCAGATAAGGGAAGGGAAGAGGTCATCCAGACCCTGGAATAAAGGGGGGGCGTCTTCCGAAATATTTTTTTTGGCCCATCGGGCCTCAGTTTGGTCCAAAATAAGGGGGGGGGGGGTGGGCCCCCAAGCCCCTTCCCTGGATCTGCCACTGTAACACTGTGTAATGGCATATTGGAAAGATTTTATTTACATAATTAATAAAAGTAACATTAAAATTTTTTTCATCATTTTTAAAGAAAGGGAAATTACCCTCAGAGCAAATCAGTTAATAAAATCATTTTATTTCATTTTTTGTGTATGTGTAAGGAACAGTCTGTATTTGCCCTGTTGTAAGGAAATCGAGGGTCATTAAAAGAAATGACTAGCTGTAAGTATTCCAAAGCATCTCAACATAACCATTGTCACTGTTGTTGGTCCCAAAATAAGGACGTAATCAATACTGTTTTGGAACAGTGAAAACCTGCATAAAAGAACAAGTGGATTAAGAACACTCAGGCTGACATTTGGACAAAAAAGTACCATAGACTGAGATGGATAAAGGGCGGTTATATTTGCAGAGCTACACGTATTTGTAAGTATGACCTGTCATGAATAACATGGGAGGCAATCTTCGCATTTCCGGTGTCTGCCATGTTGGGTGGTGGCATTTGATTGCAAGTGTCCGTTTAATACACGTTGGTAACAATAGAAATGTCCATTTCAGGTACTTTTTAGGTGTCCACGTCCGCTTAATGGAGGTGTCCACTTAATAAAGGTTTCATTTAAAGAAAATAAGGGAAATAAATTCTGGGACTTTAGCTACTGTCCGCTTAATAGAGGGTGTCCACTTAATATAGGTTTCACTGTACTTACTGTATTCTTTCTGCTCCTGATTCGCTGCTCTTTCAGGACTTGTTTCTCCTTGTTGCCTTGTTTGATTTTTTTCTGCCTCTTCTTGGTCTTAAAGTGGGTCCTAATAGCAGCTATCATTCAGGAAACAGATATAAAAATTATTAACTGCTATCACCATAAGTAAAAAAATCACTTCTTAAAAGGACCAAGAAGTGTGGTGGATCTGCGGGGGGGGGGGGGGGGGGGGGGGGGGGGGGGGCGTCTAAGAACTGACAAATACGTGGGGGTGCGGAGAGCGGTGGGGGTAGGGGGGGGTGGGGGTGCGGGAGGGAAGAGGGGAGGCGAGGCAGGGTGGACGGGGGTTCGAAACCCCTAAATTAAAACAGCCAACATCGGAAACTTGTAAAAATATAAAATAAATACAGTCTTAAATGCAATGTATTCATAACCAAGTTAAGCCTCTACTGCTCAATAAAGCTAAAACGTTTTCTCCATAAAAAACAAATACATTTTTGTTTCACTGACATTTTCCTTAACATTAACTGTTTGCTGCGAATTGCTTGCACTATACCAGTCACTTCAGCTGACAACAAAGGAGAAAAAGGTACAGCTTTGAAGCTTGTCAAAGGATACCACCATGACAACAGAAAGACTGTTAGGCTTGGCTATGATGAACATTCATTACGAAAAGCCTATTGACTACGATGCTGTGGTTCAGTTTTTTGCGGAAAGATACCGAAGAATGCTTCTTGTTGATCCCATGTTCGACGAAACACAAAATTGAAAACAGTGAAATTAATGCAGTATATTTTTATCATAGTTTTACAAATACAAATTTGCATCGTTGTTTCACTGCTTTCAGTGATATTTTAATGCAAAAAGAATGGCATTTTCACTTTAAAAAATGAGATATTAAAACAAGCTGACTTCGCCTCAGAATGGCAGAAATCACGTTTCTGAGGACTTGAAATTTCCAAATTTTCGGGGGAGGATGCCTGCAGACCCCCCCCCTACAAGGTGGCCGCCTTGCCTTTTCATTGAACCCCTTATGCTAAAATCCTGGATCTACCCCAGAAGACTCAAGGTTTAAGTTGGACAAAGATTCCTGTAATTTTCCACCATATTAATACATATGATCTACTGTAATTATTATATTCTACAGAGCCAAATCTGAGAAATTACAGTGCAGGAATACACTTACCCCTTATGAGTGATACTGGTGCAGAAATGTCTGTGCTTCGCACTCCATCTATAATAGCTGCATGTACAACCTGGTTATCTCTGTGATTAAAGCTAAATTCGATGGCAAAAATTGTGTGAGAACTGAGTGGCTAAGCAAAGTATTTTTCTGGAAAGAGGATTTCTTTTTGTGCGCAAGATCCCAAATTAAGGTAATCCCATATTATTTTGATACTGAAGGGGTGCATATGAGAAAGACTTGTGACTCCTAATAAACTAAGAGTTTGTATACAATACATGGTAGCTTTTCTTTTAAAAATAGCGATAGAAGTTTGCTTTTTGGTAAAAACCATTGCATTTTTTTAAATACAGTTTATGAGCTCCAACAACAAAAAATCTCAAAACAAACACTGCATAACTTAACCATCTCAGTTAGTGACCTGGCAACCTGATATAAAAAAAAACAACAACAGAACTAAAAATGATAAGAACCTAAACTTACTCTTGTGAAAGATCCCATTTAACATCTTCCCCATCCTCATTGGTCAGTAAACAATAGACGTCCCTCACATGAGCCTTATAAAGGATGAATTAACAACCAAGAAAGCAAGAAAGAAAGTAGAAAGAAAGAAAGAAAAGAAAAGAAAGTAGAACTATTAATCCTTCGTACCAGTAACTTTGAACGTTTTACACTTGGCCCTCATCTCAAGCCCTTGCTGACTCGAACCTCACACTAACTTGAATCAAATTGATTTCCCCTGGATTTCCTTCCTATATTACTGTAATTCTACTCTCAATAACTTGAAATTCAGCAGTCAGCCAGCAAGATGTTTTTTAAACAACTTTGATATCTAGTTACTTTTCCGCATGGCCCAGCCACTTGGTACGATTAGCTTTTCCTATTTCTTAGTGGCTGTGCTGTCTTTTTTTCACAATTATTTCCTTTTAATGTCTTTACACTTTTCTATCAAGAGCACGATAAAGATTGTTGTTGCTGTTGTTGTTAACCCAAGGTAAATTATTTTTGTTTTCCTTCAGATCATACCTATATAATCTTATACATTTCTGTATAATTTTTTCAACACAAGAAGAGAAATTTTGTATCTCCAAGCAACCATGTCATGTTCTATTTATTACATAAACACCAATGAAATGCCAAACCATTTTCCTTAAATGGTTTCTGGGTCTGAAAGGTGCGGTTTATTAT